GATGGCTAAAATAAAAAACTCAAACAAGTGTTGGCAAGGGTGTAGAGAAAAAGGAAGCCTCATAAGCAGTTGGTGGGAGTGCAAACTGGTGGGGCCGTTGTGGAAGATGGCATGGAGGTTCTTCACAAAGTTAAAAACAGAACTAGCCTGTGATCCGTAATCACACTAATGGGTATTTACCCACAGAATAAGAAAACACTAATTCAAAGGGATACATGCACCCTTGTGTTTACTGCAGAATTATTTACAAGAGCCAAAGTATGGAAGCAGCCCAAGTGTCTCCATTGATAGATGAATGGATAAAGATGTGGTACTTATATGTGACAGAATATTATTCAACCATAAAAAATGAAATCTTGCTTTTTCAACAACATGGAGGTAGAGGCTATCATGCTAAATCAGGTCATCGTCGGTCAAAGACGAAAACCGGATGACTGCACTCATATGTGGAATTTAAGAAACAGAATAAGCAAAGGAAAAAAAAGAGACAAACCAAGAAACACTCTTAACTAGACAGAACTGATGGTTACCAGGGGAGAGGTGGCTGCGGGGGGTGGGTGACAGAGGTGAAGGGGATTAAGAGCACACTTATCATGATGAGCACTGAGAATACATGGAACTGCTGAATCACTATATTGCACACCTGAAACTAATATTAACACCGTATGTTAATTACACTGCAATTAAAAAAAAAATTTTCAGGGGGCGCCTGGGTGGCTTAGTCGGTTAAGCGTCCGACTTTCGCTTGGGTCATGATCTCGCGGTTCGTGGGTTCGAGCCCCGCATCGGGCTCTGTGCTGACTGCCAGCTCAGAGCCTGGAGCCTGTTTCAGTCTGTGACTCCCTCTCTCTCTGACCCTCCCCTGCTCATGCTGTCTCTATCTCTCTCCTAGAAATAAATAAAACATTAAAAAAAAAATTTAAAAAAAAAAAAAATTTTCAGATCGCAATAGCTTCAGCAAACATGTAAGAAAAAAAATTATCAATCTGAGAGAATTCTTCCAAAAATATAAAAAAAGGAGTATCTCCCAACTTCTCTTATGAGTCCTATATAACCCTGATGCTAAAATCTGACAAAGACATTACAAAAGAAAGAAAATCAAGACTAGTATATCTCACAAATGCAGACATGAAAATTCTAAATATGAGCTAAATGAATACAGTGACATACAGAATATCATGACTAAGTGAGATTTATCTCAGAAATATAAGATTTGTTTAACATTAAAAAGGTCAATGGAATTCACTACATTAACAGAATAAAAGATGTAAAAAACAAAACCCTAAAACTCAACCTCTACTCTAAATGATCAGTCAACTATGAATTAAAAGCTAACTCCCTCAAAACTACAAAAGGTGTTTATATATATATTTTAAGTTTTATTTATTTACTTATGAATGGCACAGAGAGAGAGGGAGGGAGGGAGAGAGAGAAAGCTGGGGAGGGGCAGAGAGCAGACAGAAGATGGAAAGCAGGCTCTGTGCGCACAGCACAGAGCCCAATGCGGGGCTCAAACTCATGAAGGGTTTGAAGCACGGGCAGATGCCCAACCAACCAAGGTGTCCCAGGGTATTTATATTTTTAAAAAACCCGGGCGCCTGGGTGGCTCAGTCGGTTAAGCATCCGACTTCGGCTCAGGTCATGACCGCACGGTTTGTGGGTTCAAGCCCCGCGTTGGGCTCTGTGCTGACAGCTAGCTCAGAGCCTGGAGCCTGCTTCGGATTCTGTGTTTCCCTTTCTCTCTGACCCTCCCTTGCTCACGCTGTCTCTCTCTCTCTCAGAAATAAATAAAACATTTAAAAATTTTTTAAAAAAAGTGTTTATAAAAAAAAAACCTGCACAGCTAATATCACACTCAAGAGTAAAATACTGAGACACTGACCCAACTGTATTTTGTTTTTTTGTTTTCTTAAAAATTTTTAATATTTATTTATTTTTGAGAGAGAGGGAGAGAGACAGAGTGTGAGCAGGGGAGGGAGACACAGAATCCGAATCAGGCTCCAGGCTCTGACCTGTCAGCACAGAGCTCCACACCGGGCTCAAACTCACAAACCATAGATCATGACCTGAGCCGAAAGTCGCAGGCGTAACTGACTGAGCCCCCAGGTGCCCCTGATCCAACTGTTTCAATGGAAACCTGGGCGGGGAGGGGGAGTTAAGATGGAGGAGAAGTAGCGGGACCCTGGCTTTGCCTCATTCCTCGAAAACACCTCAATCAGCATCAAATCATTCTGAACACCTAGAAAATCAATAGGATTAAGAGAACATTCTGCATATCTCGGGGGAGAAAATGTGGCAGGTGCAGGTGGAGTGACATGAATTAGGGGACAGAAGAGCTGTAGTGCCACAGAGAGAGGAAGCCCTTCTTGCAGAGAGGAAAGGGAGAGAGGGGACAGCGAGCTCACGGGGCCTGTGAAAGAAAAGCACTCCTCCAAAACCAGTGACTGGGGAATCGGGAGGAATGAACTATCACAAGTTTCTGCGAACAGTGGAGCTCACATTTGGAGTGAGGCTGGAGGCATCACAATTCTGGACTTCAAACTGTATCACAAAGCTGTAATCATCAAAACAAAATGGTACGGGCACAAAAACAGACGCACAGATCAATGGAACAGAAAAGAGAACCCAGAAACAGACCTACAACCATGTTGTCAGCTATCTTTGACAAAGTGGGAAAATATCTAACAGAAAAAAGACAGTCTCTTTTGTTGGGAAAACTGGACAGCAACATGCAGAAGAATGAAACTGCACCATCTTCTTACACAATACACAAAAATAAACTCAAAATGGATGAAAGACCTAAATGTGAGACAGGAAACCATCAAGATCCTAGAGGAGAACACAGGCATCAATCTCTTTGAGCTCAGCTGTAGTAACTTCTAACTAGACACATCTCCGGACACAAGGGAAACAGAAGCAAAAATGAGCTACTGGGACTTCATCAAGATAAAAAGCCTCTACACAACGAAGGAAATGATCAACAAAACTAAAAGGCAATCTACAGAATGAGAGAAGATATTTGAAATAACATATCTGATAAAGGGTTAATATCCAAACTCTATAAAGAACTTACCAAACTCAACACCACAAAAACAAATAATTCAGTTAAGAAATGGGCAGAAGACATGAATAGCCATTTCTCCAAAGAAGACCTAAATGGCTAACAGACACATGAAAAATGCTCATCATCATTTATCATTAGGGAAACACAAATCAAAAGCACAATGAGATACCACCTCACACCTGTCAGAATGGCTAACATTAACAACTCAGGAAACAACAGGTGTTAGCGAGGATGCGGAGAAAGGGGAACCCTCTTACGCTGCTGGTGGTAATGCAAACTGATTCCGCTGTATGGAGGTTCCTAAAAAATTGAAAATAGATCTACCCTACGACCCAGCAATTGCATTACTAGGTATTTACCCAAAGGATAAAAAAAATTGATTCAAAGGGGCACGTGCACCCCAATGTTTATAGCAGCATATCAACAAAAGTCAAACTAGAGAGACAGCCCAAATGTCCACTGACTGATGCATGGATAAAAAAAGATGTGGTGTTTACACACATATACACACGCACACACACAATGGAGTATTACTGAGCCATCAAAAAGAATGAAATCTTGTCATCTGCAACGACGTGAATGGAAGCAAAGTGTATTATGCTAAGTGAAATAGTCAGAGAAAGACATATACCATATGATTTCACTCATACGTGGAATTTAAGAAAACAAAACAGATGAACATAGGGAAAGGGAAGGAAAAATAAAATAAGATGAAAACAGAGGAGGCGATGCACTGTTGGTGGGAATGTAAACTGGTACAGCCCCTCTGGAAAACAGTGTGGAGGTTCCTCAGGAAACTAACAATAGAACTCCCTTATGACCCAGCAATAGCACTGCTAGGAATTTACCCAAGGGATACAGAAATGCTGAGGCATAGGAGCACATGTACCCCAATGTTCATAGCAGCACTCTCCACAATAGCTAAAACATGGAAAGAGCCTAAGTGTCCATCAACAGATGAATGGATCAAGAAGATGTGGTTTATCTATACCATGGAATACTACATGGCAATGAGAAACAATGAAATCTGGCCATGTGTAGCAACATGGATGGACCTTGAGGGTGTTATGCTGAGCGAAATAAGTCAGGCAGAGAAGGACAAATACCATATGTTTGCACGTATAGGAGGATTAGGAGGAACTTGACGGAGGACCAAGGGGGAGAAGAAGGGCGGAAATGGTGGGGGAAAGGGAGAGAGGCAAACCATGAGAGACTCTTGAATGCTGACAAAAACTGAGGACTGATGGATGTGGGGGGGAGGGGGGGATGGGCATGAAGGAGGGCACTTTGGGGATGAGCACTGAGTGTTATGTAGAAACTAATTTGACAATAAACTATTTGTAAAAAAAAAAAAAAAAAAGAAAGAAAACAGAGGAGGCGACAAACCATGGGAATCTTACCTATAGAGAACAAACTGAGGGTTGCTGGAGGGGTGTTGGGTGGGGGAGGGGCTAAATGGGTGACGGGCATTAAGGAGGGCACTTGTGAAGACGCTGTTGTGTTAAAAGCCCTTCTTTTTCTGTTGATTTCTTGATTCTACAATAAATTATTTAATAACTTAATACTTAATAAGTAACTGAATTTTTAAAAAATATTTTTAAAATGTTTTTATTTATTTCTAGGAGAGAGAGAGAGACTGTGAGTAGGGGAGGGTCAGAGAGAGAGGGAGTCACAGACTGAAACAGGCTCCAGGCTCCGAGCTGGCGGTCAGCACAGAGCCCGACACGGGGCTCGAACCCACGAACCTCGAGATCATGACCTAAGCGAAACTCGGACGCTTAACCGACTAAGCCACCCAGGCGCCCCGTAACTTAACTGAATTTTAACCATTAAATAAAAAAGCTGATTTCATTTTCTCCTAGTTTAAATTTCCTTTGCAAAGGGATCGTAATAAAATCTCCTGGGACAGGACCGCGTGTACGATGTCGTGTATTACCTTTCGCAGCGGTCCATACCGTTTCCTGTACTTCTTGTTCCAAGATATGCCTATCTTTTTCAAGAGCTTCTGGCCCAGCTGATCAACAGGAATTAGATTATTCTCCTCCTTGTGAAAGAAACACAAAATCAGTTAAGAAAATTTGATGAGATGTAATTGTAACATTTACGAGTTCAAAAGGGCCAACAGGATTATATTTAATTAAATGTGCCTATGACAGCTGAACATGGAAGTGGATTAACCATAATTGCTTCAAAATAAAAAAAATTTTTTACAAGTAGATTAAGCCTCAGTTTAAAAAACTTGAATTGTGCCTTCCTGTGCCAAAGTTTAAATGCTTAAAGAGCCAATATCCAAAGAGTATTCTGGGGGTTGGTAAATTTCTGATACTTTGTGGGATTCTTTATAAGAAATACTTAAGTGCAAAAAAGGATCATCAATACCTTTTGTGAATGTTTCCAAATAAAAAACAGTTCTAAAACAGAGTAAGAAGTGACTGTTTCGGGCTGAAATGTACCCCCCAATCCTGCATTCACACGTTGACTCCTGAATCCTTAAGATTTCAACTATGACTATATTTGGACCTTTAAAGAAGTGATTAAGTTAAAATGAGGTCATTAGAGTGCGTCCTAGTCCAATCTGACTGGTGTCCTTATAAGAGGAAGAAATATGGACACACAGAGGCACTGGGGATGCACATCCACAGAGAAAAGCCATGTGACGACACAGTGAGAAGGCAGCCACCTGCAAGCCCAGGAGGGAGGCCTCAGGAGAAAAGAAACCTGCTGGTACCTTGATCTTGGACTTCCAGCCTCCAGAACTATAAGGGAATAAATGTCTGTTGTTTAAGCCTGCAGTATGTGATATTCTGTTATGGCGGTCCTAGCAGACTAACGCAGTGGCCATGGACCAATGGAGCTAAAGGACTCAGCCTAGGTCCATAGCCAACAATTAAGAAAAAGTGTTGACAGGAATGAATAAATACATAAAAGGAGACCTACCACCTTTACAACACAGCACTAAGCAAACGTTAAAAGTTCATATACTTGAGGTATTATCAGTAAATCAATATTAGGAATGAAAAAGGGGACATTACTTCATGTACTAGACATTAGAAAGGATAACATGGGAAAATAGCAAATTCCAAAACAATATGTGAAGTAAATCCCAATTCCATTTTAAAGGACAGTAATACCAAAAAAACCCACAACCCAATCCCAATATATATATACATAAATACAGAGAAAAAGCAGAATGCAAGAATATATTAAAGTATTAACAATGACTGCGTATTTGATTTATATTTTTCATTATCTTTATATATTTCCTAGTTTTTTCTCTCAAATTTTCTACCAAATACGAATTTTTTTATAACCAGAAAGTCTCCAATAAAGAACTGTAAAAATAGACACAGAGAACGTCCCAAGGGAAGAGGACTATCAATAGTACCAGTAACAGTTCTATCAATGAAATCTCATGTATTTATGTGCATGTCTGTAATACACACAAAAATATAAACTCTCTACCTGTAGTAAGACTGCTTTTAGAATTATCAATGGATCATCGTCAATCTCTTCTTGATTCTGGAGATCTGGTTTACTTTTTTCCTCCTAGAAAGGAAAACAATAAAAAGGTTTTTATCATTATTCCCTTAGAAGGTAATTAACAAAACAGAAAGAAATGTTTGTGTCATGGAAATTTCAAGATGGAGGAGTGATGGTAACATCTTAATAACTTATACACACTTTGGAATCCAGCAGACCTGGCTTTGAATTCCAGTTTTGATTGAATAATCCTGAACAAACAATTTAATCTATTGAGCATTTTCTGCAAATGGAATTATGAGACAAGCCTCAGGCACAACACACACTCGGTAGGTTCTGACATTTTCCCAGTAAGCACCACCTTAGCTGCACCCTACAAATGTCGACAGGTTGTGAATCACTGGGAAGCTCAGTTTAATGCTTGCTTCTATTTCCCGATCGTCCAATTTTTCACCTCATTCTGTGAAGTTATTTGGGATCATATCAAAATAAGGTATTTTTATTGATTGATTTTTTTCTACATGCCACCCTGCAAAAGTATTTTAATTTGACTTAAAACCCTAAATACAAATAGACCTAAACAATTAACAGAAGGACAAAATACAGAAATAGTAAAAGAATATGGCAGACTAAGTACAATCATCCTTAACAAATAATTACTAAAAATACTGGATAAACACAACACAACAAAACAAAACAAAGGCATCTTTTAAAAATACACCCTGAACTAGCAAGAGAGTATCAGGAAATCCTCAGAGAACAAGTGAAATGGGAATCCAGGGAGGAAATCCAGAACCGAGGCCTCCAGCCGTCCAAGCTGGCTGACACAGACTCCACTTTGATGCTCATATGGGACAGGGCTTGAGGCACAGCCCAAGGACCTCCCAAAGTATGGAGTCGAATGACTGTTGTCCAAATGACAAGTTTTCGAGTTCTCTGACACCATGTGGGTGTCCTACAATTCAGTTCAGTTCTGGTACAAACTTTACTCAGTCCCACAGGACTGCCTCCACTTCAGACAGCAGGCACAAATGGGGTCCCAGGCCACCTGCACTTTTGCCTGGCTGATTAAAAATTCTAGGATTCCTACAACCCCTGCTTCAGGTTTGAGAATTTCCTGGAACAGCTCACAGAACTCAGGAACTTACACACCCTGTGTACAGGGTGAGGTCAGGAAGGGTCCTGAGAAAAGCAGGAGCCTCTATCCCCATAAAGTCGGGGTGGCCACCCTCCCTGCATGTGGATGTGTTCACCAGCCCACAAACTCCCTTAGTCTCCTTGTTTCAGAGTTTTTATCAAAGTTTCTGTACGCAGGCACGACTGATGGATTGGACTCCATCACCAGCCCCTCCCCCCTCCCCAGGTCAGGGGCTGGGGCTAAAAACATCAACCCTCTAAGGATGTGGTTGGTCCTGCTGGTGACTTTGGAGGTATCTAGGCCCCCACCAAGAGCCACCCCATTAGCATGAACTCGGGTATGGTTGAAAGGGGTTCATTATGAACAACAAAAGACAAGCCTATCCCTCAGGAAATGTCAAGCTCTATTCCAGGAACCTGGGACAAAGACTGAATATAAACATATTTTTTTAATTACATCACAAAGACTTCAGTAAAATGCTAGAAACCTGAAAGAAACACCTTCTCAGTATAAACATGACCTAGAAAAATCTACCCCACAATAAAGGACGATGACAAACTTGCTTTCTTTGATCCTAGATGAAGGTAGAAAAAAATTAACAATAGAACTCCCCTATGACCCAGCAATAGCACTGCTAGGAATTTACCCAAGGGATATAGAAATGCTGAGACACAGGAGCACATGGACCCCAATGTTCATAGCAGCACTCTCCACAATAGCCAAAACATGGAAAGAGCCTAAGTGTCCATCAACGGACGAATGGATCAAGAAGATGTGGTTTATCTATACCATGGAATACTACATGGCAATGAAAAAGAATGAAATCTGGCCATGTGTAGCAACATGGATGGACCTTGAGGGTGTTATGCTGAGCGAAATAAGTCAGGCAGAGAAGGACAAATATCATGTTTGCATGTATAGGAGGATGAGGAGGAACTTAACTGAGGACCATGGGGGAGAAGAAGGAGGGAAATAGTGGGGGAAAGGGGGAGAGGCAAACCATGAGACACTCTTGAATGCTGACAAAAACTGAGGACTGATGGATGTGGGGGGGAGGGGGAGATGGGCACGGAGAGGGGGACTTGTGGGGATGAGCACTGGGTGTTATATGGAAACCAACTTGACAATAAACTATCTGTAAAAAAAATAATAATAATTTTAGTAAACTGTCTGGTATCAAGTAACATATAAACAGCAATAAATATTTCTGATTACTTTAAAAAAAAAAGAAAAACGTCTCCTTTAAATTTATAATCACAAGTCCCCACTTGGGTTTGTGGCTCACATGCTATGGCTCTAAAACCAGGTCAAGTTAAGGGTTGGAAGGGACCACAGGCATGTGGTAGCAACAAATACTTATCTTTCTCAGAGGAAGTCACTTTAAACCTAGCCCTTGAATTACTCCAGTAAATCAGGTTCTTAAAAAAAACCACCAACCAACCAAGGCAACAGTCTGAAATAACAAAATCCCAAGGAAGTAAAAGCAGCAGATTCTAAGCTGACTTACGGCTTACAATCTCAGACTACAATCATCATAGTAGTAAAATAATATGTTTAATGTGCTTAAAGATATGACTAAGGAATAAGAGATTTAAAAAAGGTAGAAGGGGAAAGGCAGGCCAGCACCGCCCTCTACGGGACTCGCTAGTGGGTAACTAACAGGCTAGGCCCAGTCCTCCTCCACTCTGCCAGCGCCCAACCTTGGCCTTGTCCGTACAGTAGGAGCTAGTCCTGGACTGCCTATTGGGGGTTGTTGTGAAACCTTCTCTCACCCATTTCTTCAAATGTGCAAGATAATGTTCAAAGGAATGTCAACAACCATCAGTGAGGCAAAAGGTCTCTCAGGAAGCAAAAAAAAAAAGCATTCGACTCTTGATTTTGGCTCAGGTCATGATCTCATGGTTTGTGGGTTCGAGCCCTATGTTGTGCTCAGTGCTGCCAGCATGGAGCCTGCTTGGGATTCTCTGTCTCTACCTTTTCCCTGCTCCCTCTCTCTCATAATATATAAACGGTAAAAAAAGGGAGGGGGAGCAGAAAGTGAAGATGGGGCTCCTTTTTACAACCAGATCTAGAGTCACATTTTGAACAGTTAATGGCGGATCATCTTCTGGATATGCTAAGGAGATTGGAATGTTGCCTTTATTCTACTATACTATATCATATAACATATAATAATATACGACTGTTCTTTAAACTCTACCTTCAACTTGGGGCTCGAATTTACGACCCTGAGATCAAGAATCACGTGTTCTATCGACTGAGCCAGCCAGGCACCCCTGAAATGCTACCTTTAAACCAGGGAAAATTATGTCAGATTGGTCATGAAAAGTATTCTTTTGCAGACAGTACCTGCTAAAGAACTCCATGATTGCAGGGAACAGCTCCTCGAAGGGAAGAAGAAATTGTCAAACTATAAGCAGAAAAGAACAATACCTGGCTATGATTAGAGTACCTGTAATCCTACATCTCTAGGCACAAGAAATCTCTCAGCACAATGGCAATAAAAAGAAAAGCAGTGTCCCACAGGTATATGTATGGAGGTTGAAATTCTTAAAGCATTAATCATTATTTGAACACCACAAAGCTCTGGATGAAAAACTAGTGACTCTGAAAAAAGAGAAGAAAGAAAAAAATTTAACAAACGGATGCTTCACTGAAGGCCTGAGTACAAATGGAAAGCATTCTGATTGTTCTTTAAGCCCCGAGAAAGACTGTGCTAAAGTAACAAGGCGTTAAGAACAGAGAGGCAGTGCGGAGAGCAAAACCAAATGAAAGAATGCCTGTCTATCTTCTCGAGTCACATAACAGAACCAGGAGAAGAGCCCAATGACGCCAGCAAAGAGCAAATTAACTCTGAGGAAATGGAATGCAAAGCGCAGATGTCCAAGGAAGCACAACTCAAAACGAAGACAGGGAAGAGAGAAATTGCTGCTCCAGACACACGACCTCACCGCTGCGGGAGTCTACCTCTGTGTGGGATGATACACTTGAAACGAAACGGCAAAAAAAATAAAGACTGACGATAAATCCCTGCCATGGAACCTGACCAGTGCAGAAAGTGGGAGTGCTCTCTTGGACTGAAGAGACAGGGCAACGCTGGAAAACAAGGCTACGCAGACGAGGACAGAAGTGGAAAAAAAGAAGCCAAGACTACAGTGGGCAAGGCAAAGAGAAAGTCAATAAATGAACACCACAATATATATTTATTGGATCTGTCCACAAGCTTATATCCGAAACTAAGAAAAGCCTTCAACACCATCTTTTAGAGAGGAGATGATGCTAATACAGTTGTCTGAAAAGAGTGAGGGCACAATGGCTACTCCGGGCCCCTGCGCACTAAGAGCAGCATGGAGAAAGGTGGCACGGTGAGAGTACAAACTAAGTGTGGAGACATCGCGGGCTGAATTAGAGCAGATGAGGGCGCAAGAACTTCCCTTCATCTGACTGGGCATGTGCCCAACACCTAATGTCCTGGCTAACGTGGCACAAGCATTTGAGGGTGACGCTTCTACGGTGCTCTCAGCCCAGAATGAAACGGAAGGTAACGGACTGGAAAGGGGGACGCAAACCAGTCTTTCTCCAAAGATGTCTGCAACGTAAGAGGGTTTAGCAAGATGGCTGGTTATAAAAATCAACAAACTAACGGTAATCGCATTTCATGCGCTGGCCGCAAATAGCCCAAAAAATACAAAGTACGGCCACAGCCCTACAGAACATCTTCCTGGTAGAACAGTTTAAACTTTTTAAATATCCAAATGCTTTTTAATATCCAAGTACAAGAGCATCAGAAATGCAGACCGGTGCTCTGAAAAGCAAACGCCAACAGGGAGAACATGCATCTAGAACGCTGCTGGCACCAAGAGAAGCGATATTGCTGTATGCGGCACTACTCATGAACAATCCCAATTGTCCAGTCATCAGAAAGCTGTCATAAGCATCCTACCTCCCACCATGATGGCTTGTAACTCACATACTGACATTTCACTGGGTTTCAGTTACACGTTAGAAAGCTAGCTGAGGGGTGCCTGGGTGGCTTAGTCGGTTGAGAGTCCAACTTTCGCTTAGGTCATGATCTCGAGGTTCGTGGGTTCGAGCCCCACGTCAGGCTCTGTGCTGACTGCCAGCTCAGAGCCTGGAGCCTGTTTCAGTCTGTGACTCCCTCTCTCTCTGACCCTCCCCTGCTCACGCTGTCTCTCNGCCTGTTTCAGTCTGTGACTCCCTCTCTCTCTGACCCTCCCCTGCTCACGCTGTCTCTCTCTCTCTCCTAGAAATAAAACATAAAAAAAAAAAAAAAAAAAAAAAGAAAGCTGGCTGAGACTGGGGTTGGTGTGTGACGCCTTATGATTTTTCCCACAGCAATTAACTGGAACTAAGACTTCCAGTTAGTGCTTTCCCTCAGAACATCTTAAGAAAATTACAAAACTTTTTTATAAGAAGCTCTAAAACATGAAAAGATAGATCTGGCTTACACATCTAGATTCAAAACTCTACTACGTCTGAGAAGGTGTGTATGTGTATGAGAATACAGGGACAGGCTGATTCTAGAATGTTCACAGAAGAATAAAACAGTAACAATACTCCCAAAGAACAGTTAACACAGGGAGACCTGCCTGCTGCACGACTTATGATGATGCTACAGAAATTAACAATGTGGAATTGGCCTCCAAAGAGAAAAAAGGACAACAGAACAGAACAGATACTCAAATGGACTCATATATAAACTGACAAAACAAACCCAGCACTGTGGATTGGCAGGGAAAGAACGGATTATTTAATAAATGGCAATGGGCAACCAGGTACGCAAACGGGGGAAAAAAACACACACCTTTCACAGGGAACCATTCCAGAAAGACTGAGTTTTATTTTTTTAATTTTTTAATGTTTATTTTTGAAAGAGAGTGTGAGTGGGGGAGGCTCAGGGAGAGAGAGGGAGACATAGAATCTGAAGCAGGTTCCAGGCTCTGAGCTGTAAGCACAGAGCCCGATGCAGGGCTAGAACTCACAAACTGTGAGATCATGACCTGAGCCAAAGTCAGATGCTTAACCGACTGAGCCAGCCAGGTGCCCGAAGACTGAGAAGTTTTAAATGGATAAGGCAAAACTGTAAGACTTTTAGAAGACAATATAGGAGGAAAATCTTTCTCATCTTTGGTTGGTGCCATGAAAGACAAAGAAAAGCCAAGGAACAGTTATCGGTTAAAGGAGACTTAAGATAGATATGCTAACTAAATATATGCATGCTGACTAAATATAATGCAGGCCCCTGCACTTGACACTGGGGTGGGGAAGAAATGCTGTAAAGGACCTGGAAGAGACAACTGGTAGAACCTGAATATAAATTCTTTATTAGAGAGTATTTTGATCTACGCTTGTGTAAGGGAGCATCCTGGTTCTCAGGGGATAAACCCTGAAGTATTTACAGGTAAAGGGGCCTGATGTCTTTAGCTTAATCTCAAATGGTTCTGCACTCATAAGATAATATGAGCTGGGTGTATTTGCACAAATTTGGCAAGCTGTTTTTTTACGTTTTATTTATTTTTGAAAGAAAGAGGGAGAGAGAAAACGCCAGCTGGGGCGGCGAGGTCGGGGGGGGGGGGGGGTAAGGGCAGAAAGGGAAGGAGACAGAATTCCAAGCAGGTTCCACACTGTCAGCACAGAGCCTGACACACGGCTCGATCTCACAACTGTGAGATCATGACCTGAGCTGAAATCAGGAGTTAGAAGTTTAACCGACTAAGCCACCCAGGTGCTCCATCGTTGTTGGTTTTTTTAAAAAGTTTATTTATTTAAGTAATTTCTACCCCCAATGTGGGGATCTGGAGATCAAGAGTCGCATGCTCTTCTGACTGAGCCAGCTGGGCGCCCCAAATTTGATGACTTGTTAACTAAAGAATCCAGGTGAAGAGTATATAGACAGTGTGTGTACTATGCTGATTATTTTTCTGTATGATTTAGAAATAAAAATTTTAAACTTCTAACTTTGCTTGTCTCTAAAAATTTTCGAGGGTAAATCTAATAAATGGCAAAAGATTATCTTCACCAAAACAATAAGACTAGAAAAGGGAAAAAGTGCAAAGAAACTTCTAAACTAATTTCTATGCTTACTTGAAATTCCCAGTTTCCCAAATGATCAACATCTTTAATATACACGTGATAATGTCCTCCATAGCAGCCACCTTGGTGGATAATAACTGAGAAGAGGTCATAAACATACTCCAAGTCATCCAATTCACTCTACAAGAGAAAAGAGCATAAACATATAGTTTATGTAAAATGGGAAGATACATTACCAAAGAGAAAAAAGAGTTTCAACTATTAAAAATAAGAAATTGGTTATTGTTATTTAAAGGTAAATTAAGATAAATTTGAATAACTGCCTTTACAAATGCTTTCATTCTTAGAGTGAAAACTATCTGTCATTGATCTAATGCCAATCACACCACGACCAACCAAATTCTGCTTTAGTTAAACATGAAAACAAACAAAATGTATTTGCATGCACTTTGGCTAAGATCACGTAGGTCATGTGCTAATGAAACACCCTCCCCTGTGAGTCTGTGATACTTTTAGCAAGAATAAAACCATCCCTGTATTCTTTATCCCTACTAGATGCTGCGTTAGGAACACGCTCTTTAGCTGCTGAATTTGTCCTATATTCCAACTAGCTGGTCATGGGCCTTGGGGTCAGAGCCGTATCTACAGTCACCTCTCCTGACACTTCAGTCCTCCGCGTCACAGAAAGTTAGCATTATGAATACTAGCTGGTTTTGTCTGGAGGCAGTTTAGTGGGATGAAAAGATCCTTTCTTCTATGATCAATCTTTTCTATGATTAATGTGCTCTATAATTAGGAAGGACCCAACTGATGAACACTTTTGCTCACATTAAAAAAACTTTTTTTGCTTTGATACTTTGCATACGAATGCTACTTGAAGGGTACCAATTATCTGAGAAACTTATTTGCTTGAAAAGTAAGTAGAATTTCTGGTTCTGGCAAAAGGTGAGAGATACAAACAAAGATGCAAGGTGTTAATCTTCTTCATTAATACAGAAACTGAAAAGTAAAATTATGATCAGTTTCCTAGCTAAGTGCTAAATGTTTTACTTATTTCGCTTCTGTTATTTCAAAGTATGTTACAATAACATGACAAACTTTTTTTTAAAAAAAAATAGGGCCTAGGGGCACCAGGTGGCTCAGTTGGTTAAGCATCCGACTTCGGCTCAGGTCATGTTCTCAGGGTTCGTGGGTTCAAGCCCTGTGTCGAGCTGTGCTGACAGCTAGCTCAGAGCCTGAAACCTGCTTCAGATTCTGTATCTCCCTCTCTCTCCTGACCCTCCCCTGCTCCCGCTGTCTCTCTCTCTCTCTCTCAGAAATAAATAATTAAAAAAAAAATTTTTTTTAATTTTTAAAAAGGACCTAAAATTTTTCTATAGGAAATGATGGCTGTTAACTAAACCTATGGTGACCATCATTTCGCAATGTGTGTAAATCAAACTTAGCCTGCTGTGCACCTTCAACTTACAAAGTGATGTCTGTCAATTATTGCTGAATAAAGCTGGAAAAATTAAAAAAAATGAATTCAATTATCCTGTTTATTCAGGCAGTAAATGGGAGGGCAAGTATATTAATGTATTCTGGAAAAACTGCTCATTCCATATGTGCCAATAAAACAAATCCCAAAAAGCTCAGAAATTAGGCTTGAAGTAGAGAAAGGCCCATCCAAAATTAAGAATAAATGAAATATTGGGGTGCCTGGGTGGCTTAGTCGGTTAAGTGTCCGACTTTGGCTCAAGTCATGATCTCACGGTTCGTGGGTTCGAGCCCCACGTCGGGCTCTGTGCTGACAGGTAGCTCAGAGCCTGGAGCCTGTCTTTAGATTCTGTATCTCCCTCTCTCTCTGACCCTCCCCTGATCACACTGTCTCTCTTCTCTCTCTCTCAAAAATAAAAATTTTTTTTAAAAGAATAAATATTACTTCTATATATAGAAATTCAGTAGCTAATTAATAAATGTTCTGGTCTTAGTGAACATATAAATAATGACTTGTAAATAAGAAATACAGCAGTCTCATGGGTCTGATCTTGGCAGGTACAGTGATTACATAGAAAATGGCTTATAAAGTAGGTTGCTTGTTTTCAAAATTTTCTTTCCTGTGTCTCAAAGATTATGAACTCTGGCTAAGATACCATTTACCTGTTCATTTTCTACATGTGTAACTCATTATCGCATCTCCTATAAACTAAATCCAAATAGCAAAGTACTAATTAATGGTAATTTCTCCTAATGTAGGGTCATATCTAATTTTCTTAAACTTTCTGTTCAAAGGTCTTGCAAGGAGAGTTTAATAAAGAGAACTGAAAACAAACCCATACTTTGGAAATTCAAAAGGACTATACTAAACCAGTGGTTCTCAGCTGGGACTGATTTTATCCCACTCCCTGGGACTGATTTTACCCCACCCCCTGCCCCAGGAGACATGGACATTTGGCAAGGTCTGAAGACATTTTTGTCACTACTAGGAGTGGGATGGGAGGGTAGGATGCTACTGTCATCTAGTGGGTAGAGGCCGGGGATGCGGCTTAAAATCCTACAATGCATGGGACACAGCCCTCACAACAAAGAATGACCCAACTCAAAATGTTAACAGAGCCAGGTTGAAACATTCTGCAATAAGTCAACTGAAAACCAGGCCGATAAAAGACTCAATCCTGAGAGGGAAAAGAAAAGAATTCAAAATAAAACAGTTCAAACCTGTTCACAAAAAGGCTTGAGATTGATCCGGAGAGGGAACGTGTAACAGCTAGTTTCCTTGTATCGTTCATGCTTCACAAAATCAAAATTAAATCTTAACAATGAAACAGTAAGAAAGGGAGGCAGCTTACGTAATTTGGCCGACTGTTAAAAGAAAAATTTTTATAGTGTTTTAAAAAGCAGAGTTACAGAAAAGAACATATAAGATTTCTTAAGATATGAAAAACAACCCATGGCACAGTTTTAAGAGAAATAATGTCCTTAAATCCCATAAATGTATCACTTGGATTCAATTCAGCTGACATGATGAACTCATCTATTTCACAGGACCAAAGGTGATTTATCACTTATTTATGTTTACAAAGTTAACAATCCGAGTTCACGTTTTTAGCGTGGATATCCCAAAATCAAAGCTGTCCAACAAGCGTGTTGTAACCAGTGCTCCCCACTCTTAACAGTGCTCCTTCCCTGTGTGAGTCCTGGCCTTTCACCTTCCCCCTTTGCCCAGGACAATGGACCCAATGACTGGGGTTTTATAATGACTGCCCTTTAAAGCAGATAACAAGATATTTTTATTTCCTTGCTTTAAGACAAAACACTAAACAAAGCTGCTTTTTATTTAAAAGTCATCAGCTTCCCCCCAGAGTCTCAGCATTAATGGTATGCTGGGTAAGGGGTGGCAAAAAGAAAAATTCTTCTCATCTGTTAAATCATTGTTAATGGTATTATCATCCTTACATACAAATATCTACTTTTCCTAAAAGTATATCTAAAACAATTCCACAAAATGGGGGTTAAAAAAGTGAGAACATGGCAATGTGATATGGCAGATTTCCCAACAAGTTAATAAAAAACACACCTGAAAAACCCGAGTGTCTCATCTACAGCAAGGCTGAGAAAAGACGCTGCTCACAATAAGGAAATCTACATTAATGTAGGTAGCATGACCAAACTGAAACTTAGGATGCAATTTTTAAAATATCGAGATCAAAAAATTTCCACTGAAAAAGAATTAAACCAATGACGTACCAAGAACTGCTCTTGTTGGGCTCAGGGTTCTAGTTTTACTAACGTGCAAGTTAAGTTCAACCAAATATGTAAACGTGTTTACGTATTTTTCCGAGACCTTTAATCCTCTAAACTTTATGCTTCTTTTACTAGACTGGTAGTTGTGATACCAGAGGTGAAATACCAAATAAATAAGCAAAAAATGAACCTCTCTGTGTCACAAAAAGGCAAAGGCTGGATGAAAATGCCTATCAAAGAATGTAAAATTCATGATGGTTTCAAATCTTACTGTGAAAAGCTACAGGCATGGAGTTTATTGGGGTTTTTTTTTGGTTTTTACATTCTCGCCTATAACCTCCAGGATCTAAATCAGTATTAGCTGTTATCGAAATCAGTCCTCATTTCGTTGGGAAGTTCGGTGACTGTCAGCTGTAGGGACAGTGCTGTCACACGGAATACCTGCAAAGACCCATCTTCGGTGGTGGTTCCTGAAGCCAGTGCTCAGTAAGCAGTGACCGGGCAGCCTGCGGCACTGTCGGGCAGCAGGGGGTCAGTCACTAAGGCTCAGCCCTCCTGTCATCCCCACAGCGAGGAACCCCGAGGCACTCTGGCTGAGTACTTCCCACTGCGGGAGGAGGAAAGGCCATATGTGACCTGCCAGAGTCGGGGAGGTGGGTCTGTCGATTCTGTAACACAACCACACGTGCAGGGAATGAGGCCGTCTCTTTTCACCACAGGAGGCAGAGGAGGAAAAGCGCAATGAGCTTCTTGGCAGAAACAGAAACATACTGCCTTCCTCCCAGTGGTACTTTGCCAAAAGCAAGGATAGGGGGAGTTTATTTTTTAAAAAGGTGTTTTTAAGAAACACTGAGGTACAAATAAATTTTGCTTGGGAGGGAAAGAAGTTGAGAGAACTGTTGTGTTGAAAACTTTAAAAAAATTGCTTTACTGTAAAAAATTAAAATACAGATCTGTGGAATGCAAAGGTCTTTTCAATTCGTGGTTGAAATTAGGGGCTTCCTGTTTATCTTCCAGACTTTCTCATGCAAGTTGGCTTCACTCAACAAACCCTGGAGCTGCCAAGCGCAGAGGGGCACCCAAGGGAAGGCAGGGGTCTGTCTTTACCTTTGCCGCTTTAACCAGCCTGTCACAAGTCCCGCAGTGGTACAGGTTGTCATAATCAAAAACTTCCTCTTCTACGTACATGTTCCAGAGTGCATCTTCCAAACCTGATACGTTTTTGACTGCTACCGTTAGATCTAAGAAGTCTTCCTGAAATACACAGGAATATCACACTGAAGAAAACCATTTCACAGCGGTTCACAAACACATCACCAACTCCTGCATATGCTGGGAATAACATAACTTTTCCCTAAAACACTGTATTATGAGGGGGCAGATGTCTTATTTGGATACTCTGAAATTCATCACACAATATTACCCTAAATCAAATTATAATTTGACCTAAAATACATCAGGAACTAGTTTGTACGTTCACTGCAGCTACAATAAAACCTACTTTAGTCGGAAATAAACCCCTGAACACACATCTGGACCGAGAAGGGGACGTGTGCACTGCTTACTAGTTCTGTCTCAGTCTCTCGGCTGGAACGGCATGTGCAGGGCTGAACCCCTAATGTAAACCCCACTTCCTCATCTTCTGCTGAGGTGGATTTAAGATACACTGAGGGGGGTGCCTGGGTGGCTTGGTTGGTTAAGTGTTCAACTTAGGCTCAGGTCATGATCTCACAGTTTGTGGGTTTGAGCCCCACGTCAGCTCAGAGCCTGGAGCCTGCTTTGGATTCTGTGTCTCCCTCTCTCTGATGCTCCCCTCCTCACGCTGCCTCTCTCTCTCTCTCTCTCTCTCTCTCAGAAATAAATAAAACATTAAAAAAAAAAAAGATATACTGAGGAAGTTGTAAGAAAAAACTTATTTTGAGTCAGGATAAAAAGGTATTTTTCTGAAAAGAGGAGAGTATTTTGCAAACAGAGTCTGTCGACTCTACTATAACTACATTTGAATTGCAACTTATTTATAGTAATAAAAACTTAAAATCTGATCAGTTTAAATCATACATAGTTGTGGGGGGGTGTGTAATAGCATTACCCTAAGGGATTACAGGGACTGTAAAATAATAGTGCTAACTAGCTCATGGTGGAAATCTAAAGTAATAGGAGCAATATTTATATATAGTTTATAAAATATACATATGAAAAGTTGATGTCTATAATTCATTAGGTGCCTTCATATACATTATGGCTTAAAATTATTTTGTGAATTATTACAGTATAGTTAAGCCAATCATATGGTAATCCAAAGACATACAACGTCTTAATATTTCCAAATTAACCTGACCAAATCCTCTATCAGCACAGGCAAAAAGGGCCAAAAAGTATTTCTATCCCCAACTCTTTCATTAAAAAAAATATGAAAAGAATATATATGTATCCAAAAAAGCAAATACTGCAACATTTAGAAAATGGCATTTGATTTTTTACTCATACAAACACAGCAATTTTCTAGAACTCTTGCCATGATAAAAAGAGATTATTAAGGGACAACTGTTCAGTGATGCAATTACGTGCTGCATAAGATTTATAAAGCAGATAGAGATTATTATATTTGCAGGAGCACATTTCCAATATCTAATATTCAATTAGATTAAATGGACAACATAAGCTCACAGGTACAAATGACCTTTCTAAAGGATGTTAATAAACTAAATCCAATATTTAATTACAGGTGTTTATCAATGTAAGTATTCTTTAAGATTCTCTATTTCTATCACTTAATTAAGTTTTGTTACAATACTACAACCAACCAGGATATTGGCTCTTCTCATGAGGCCACAAGACCTCTACCTATAAACATTCCCCACATCTATTTCCTAAAGATTAGAGTGCTGAATAAAAGTTTAAAGCTACATTTTAAGATATTTGCTTCTTTTAGTTTATATAAAGAAATCTGGATCATAAACTTAGGACTTAGATGCAGTTAGAGTAAAAGAAAATAACTGATAAAGTTATTTCTAGTATAAACACTTTGACCCTCATGTGGTATTACAGGTCACAAATTTAATTGTGTGAATTATAATTTATGATATAACTTATTGCTAAAACACTCTTGCATATATATTCACCTGCTTTTCACTGACATTCTTACATTCTTTACAAACAACCTGGTTAACAATGGTCCCGTGATACAGACGATTGATGAGGTCGTGGCCGGAGGTCCCGACTAAAGAAGTTTCCAGAGCACTAAAGAGAATTCGATTCAGTTCCTGCACATCATGTTGCCTCATTTCCTATAAAACAGGTAACTTTAAAATGTAGTTTTGTGCTTCAGGTTTTTAAAAACAGACTTTTAAAGTGGTATTAGTTTAAAAAAACACAAGATTTATCTAGAAATCCAAAGGTAAGCCCTGATCAAATATAAGGATGACTGGGCTAAGCGAACTGAGAGCAGGTGAAGGGATCACCGCTATTTTTACTGTCGCTACGAAATGAAAACATGAACAGGCATTCAGTGTGCACATATAACTCAGCTCACTTGAAAACAGGAAAGTGCTTTCATGCTTGTGGGAAACCACACACACGGCCACAGCACAGGGGAGGAGGAAGAACACAAGAGGCACGGAGCAGTAACTAATAGCCGGCGGTGTATGCACAGCACAATCTCACTGACATCAGGGGACCCGAATGATCAGCACTTGAAAGAACCAGAATTTACTGTTTGCACATACAGACAACTAACACAGTGCCAAGAAAACTTCTGAAGCCACTTGCTTCACTTCCCCAAGGGTCACGCAGCTGTGTGTGAACAGACTGAACACCTTAAGCACAACTGATAAACCAGAGCCAAGGGGACACGAGCACTCAGAAGTGGAGCAGAAGAGGAAGATCTCGGCGTGGGGTGGGGGGGGAGGCCAGGAGATGAGGTCACAGGAACCAGCAGGAGTTGGTGCTTTAAGGGGTGGGAAGGAGTGGGTGCTCCCCAGAGCCCGCGCAGCAGAGAGAAGCGTCTCCTAGAACTTGGCCCGTGGATGTCATGAGTGACTTGGACAAGGCAGCAGAAAGGAGGCAGAGGGACAAATGAAAGGTACAGAAGTAGAGACCATGAGGGAAGACAAGTTTAAAGAAGTTTCACGTGAAAAGAAGCGATGAAGTGGATGAAAGCTGGAGGCAAGAGTGGGCCTCAGGATCTTTTTTCTTGATTTTTAACATATGAGACACTCAAGCACGTAAATTTCTCCGGTGCCACTGGCTCTGAAGGGGACATGTGGAAGTTTTCAGGCTGTTTCTGAATAGTGTGAAGGCTCACAAAGGGGCCTCAGAGTCCCTCTCTACCAGTCCTAGAGGGCTTCCTGAGAGATTTTATCTAGAAATTCATAAATAAATAAGGTTTTCACTGCTTTAAGAGTATGAAATCAGCAACTCAGTGGAAGCTCATGATGAAAAAGGAAAATCCAGGAGCTGACGACTAGATTAAAACACAGGTTGGCATGTCCCTCCCGCAGAATATTACTTGGCAATAAAAATAGATGAAGTGCTGATATACACAACACAAATGAAACCTGAAAGAGGCTAGTTACAAAAGATTGCATATTGTGTCATTCCATTTCTGTGCAATGTCCACAACAGGCTAATCCATAAAGGTAGAAAGTAGATGGGCGGTTGCCAGGGCCTGGGGGGGAGTGTCTGCTACTGGGTATGGAGTTTCCTTTAGGGGTGGTAAAACTGTTCTAAACGTGATTGCACTGATGGCTGTACAAATCTGTGAATATACCGAACAACTGCTGACTTGTATCCTTAAGAGTGAATTTTATGGCATGTGAATTATATCTCAACAAAGTGATCATTTTTAAACTTAAAAAAACTTTTTTAGCCCCCACAAAGCTGTTGTTTTGAAAACAAGGAAGAAGGAATTAACCCTAAGCACCTGCCCTACACCAGAAACTTAACTGTGTAATACCCCACTTGACTTCAAAACCTAAGCCCTACCTCTTCAACCTCACAGCATCATCTGATTTAGATGAGTGCTCTGCATTAGAAGACCACAGTTCAAAGTTTATTTTTGAAGGCAATGCAACATTATCCTGGTCATTGCCTCTTTAAATTCTGTGATAATCTCGCACACCTGTCTCCTGCAAAAATACATCTTCCAATAAAAAACCACAGCTCATCAATACTGACAAGCACCTTTACTCGCTGCTGACATGTTTAGTATCTGCATAGTACGTAGCAGAGTACGCTTTAGAAACTCTACCACCCGAAAAACAAACAACCCAGCAAAGAAATGGGCAGAAGATATGAACAGACACTTCTCCAAAGAGGACATCCAGATGGCCAACAGACACATGAAATGATGCTCAGCATCCCTCCTCATCAGGGAAATACAAATCAAAACCACACTGATATACCACCTCATACTGGTCAGAGTGGCTAAAATGAGTAAATCAGAGAACTCTAGGTGCTGGCGAGGATGTGGAGAAATGGGCCCCCTCCTACACTGTTGGTGGGAATGCAAACTGGTGCAGCCCCTCTGGAAAACAGTGTGGAGGTTCCTCAGGAAACTAACAATAGAACTCCCCTATGACCCAGCAATAGCACTGCTAGGAATTTACCCAAGGGATACAGAAATGCTGAGGCATAGGAGCACATGTACCCCAATGTTCATAGCAGCACTCTCCACAATAGCTAAAACACGGAAAGAGCCTAAGTGTCCTCAACAGACGAACGGATCAAGAAGATGTGGTTTATCTATACCATGGAATACTACATGGCAATGAGAAACAATGAAATCTGGCCATGTGTAGCAACATGGATGGATCTTGAGGGTGTTATCCTGAGGGAAATAAGTCGGGCAGAGAAGGACAAATACCATATGTTTGCACGTATAGGAGGATTAGGAGGAACTTAACGGAGGACCAAGGGGGAGAAGAAGGGGGGGAATAGTGGGGCAGAGGGAGAGAGGCAAACCATGAAAGACTCTTGAATACTGAGAACTGAGGACTGATGGGTGTGGGGGGGTAGGGGGGAGATGGGCATGGAGGAGGGCACTGGGTGTTATATGGAAACCAACTTGACAATAAACTATGTGTAAAAAAAAAAAAAAGGGAAAAAGAAAAAAAAACAATGGAGGACACTGGGACAGTGTAGGGGTGGACAGTATATGGGAACTCACTGTATTATCTTATAAATTTCTGTAAGCTGAAAATTATTCCAAAATAAAAATGTGTTAAACAAAAAAAACAAAAAAAAAGAAACTCCACCAGAAGATGAGAGAATGTGCACACACAGTAGCATATAGGAAGAAAATGAAGAGTCAGGAGAAAAGCAGGACAAGGAAAATGAAAAGACCAGCTAAGAATTTTGCCATTTTCCTTGAAGCAAATGTTCCATAGAGAATACCCAGCTTCGAACACAAAAGCATGTCATCAAGGCAGACGGAATTATTGCCAGTCGCTTTTTAAGCTGGTTAGCAATTTGTTACATAGATGAGAATTTCCACATAACAGACGCTGTTATTTCAACTCGACTATCTATATAAAGGATAGAGGCTGTACAAGTCAGCTCTTCTATTTCTCCGTGTCCACAACCCTCTCTCCAAAGCCAGATCACACCCATTCGTAAAATCCCGCCTAGAGCAAGTATCTAGAAATATATTTCTGGCTTGTAATGACTGAATGTGAAAAATAAATATTTCATCTATTTCTTGAGACCCAAAGACAAAATGAAAGGTAAATCAGATACTGTTATTAAACCAGTGTTTACTTTTTATTGCTGATAACTGTTCCTTGGAGAAGCTGACCTTCGTACCTCATCGCTGGTCCACCCAAAGCTGTCCGTGAGGTCTGTGGTGGACGCTGCGTCCTGGTCTAAGAGCAGAAGCTGAGCAAACATCCGCTGTAACTGTAAAGGTATGATTCGAACCTGAAAGAGAAGCAAATGCATTTCTAAATGAAGTCCTTTAAAGTTGTGGGGGGCCGAGGGGGGGCGGTTAAAAGAACCGCAAACCAGTCTCCTCCTCCTCCCTGCTAGATGATTCACTTCAATCAGGAGGAAGTTTGTAACTATTACACAGAGAGAACTAAGATTCTCTTTTTTATGAAGATTCTAATTCAATCCAAAAAGTGTTAGCTATCTGGAGTTTTCTATCTTGGCAAAGCACAGGATCAGTCCTAATACCCAAATAGGTCTAAGACACCAGCTGATTCCTGACAGTAATTTCAGTCTCTACTAGTTCACTCCCTCTCTAAAATATTTCAGAGACACACTCCCCAGAAGGAATCTTCCAGTCACCACGTTCGCTCACCCCGGAGTCCGCACACCTCACAAAGCAGGCTGCACCTGCACCATTCTCTTCCTGCCTTATCTGGCGTGGGGCGGGTTAGGGCACGCAGAGAAATGATCAGAGCTTGCTGGGCAGACTGGACTTGCACTGAAAGTGAGAAGACTTTAGGCGCTTTTATGGCAATCTGACATTACCACCGCATTTTTATTACACATTACAAAGTACGATCTGCAGGAGATGGGGAAGAAGAGGAAATACACAAAAAGTGGCTCTTCACAACACAGGTGGCTTTGAGAAGAACTGGGCTGGACCACAGAAGACTACCGTTAGGAAACGCAGATTTTAGCCTGTAAGCAATAAACTTCTGAACGGTGTTTAAGCAAGGAGGAACACGATTAGAAATGCACTTATAATAAACCAATCCCTTACTTGGTTTGTTTCCAGAATACTAAATTGAAACAACACCAGTCTCTAATTTTTGTTGTTGTTTCATATATGAGCAGTAGATAGATTTTTTGGTAGGCTAGTGTGGGTCATTTGCAAATATCTTCCTGACCAAGGTAGGTCTATAAAGCCGCTCCAGCACTATATTTGGAGAAGTAATTCTTTTTTGGACAGAAGATTCCCTTACCAGTAGGGCATGAGTCAAATTGCTTTTCTGACAATAAAGATTAATATTTGATAATTCATAAAATTATGGATTTCTATAAGTAAGGAACTTAATTCCTTCCTTAAAAAACATTTCCTCAATACTCCACAAAAAACTAAACCCACAAAAACACCTGTAAATCATAGATTTAATACCTTTGCATCAGGTTTATCCTTATCTTCGAACGAACCAAGCTCTTCTGGGCCCAGGGAAAATAAAGCTTCTAAACAAAAAAGTAGAATGAGAGATTAAATGTCATTGTTTCATTTTAGAAAACTGTTGTAAAAAGCCAAAGCCTCCAGTAAATAAACTCAGAGATTCAGGAGTATGACTGCGGCAGTATTTACACTGTTGCTCTACACATTTTACTTCCTGATAACATTACCTTTAACCACACTATAAAGTGGCATGCTAAGGTTTTGGTAGGGAAGATCTATGCAAGGAAAACTATGCTTATGAAAGTCAAAACAGTAATATCAGAAATCTTTATGGTTTCCTATTGCCCACGGCAGTGGGCCCCAAAAGCCACATGGGGAAACATACAATACGTAAAAAAAAAAAAAAAAAAAAAAGTGTCACGTGTTCATTTACAAGCCGCATGTGAGGCTTTCAACCATCTTTCAAGAGAAAGACCACCTTGGGGCGCCCGGGTGGCTTAGTCGGTTAAGCGTCCGACTTTCGCTCAGGTCATGATCTCGCGGTTCGTGGGTTCGAGCCCCGCGTCGGGCTCTGTGCTGACTGCCAGCTCAGAGCCTGGAGCCTGTTTCAGAATCTGTGACTCCCTCTCTGACCCTCCCCTGCTCACGCTATCTCTCTCTCTCCTAGAAGTAAATAAATCATTAAAAAAAAAAAAAAAAAAAAAAAGAGAGAAAGACCACCTTGATCTCTGAGATCACACCCTTGCTTTTTTCACTGTAAGAATGTCTTTTCAGTGTTAAGGGTAGTAACAGATGGCGGTGACCTTACCTGGAGGGCTAGTCTCCACAGCTGTTTTATACTCCCAAGTCTAGGCATGCCACTCAATGGGGCATATCTATGGGAAGTCTATATTTAAACCCCAGGGGAAGCCCTCCTAGGACACTTTGATCTACTCCACGGAGAGAATGGATGGGATGGGGACTGTCTCCCTCTGAAGACCACTGCTGTCCAGGTGATTACAATTACATTATATTCCTTCTGAGCTCCCGACAGGAAATGAGAAGAAAGGAACTACAAACCTAAAGGTTAAAGCATAAAACCATACCAGGACTTTTACAATCATTTCCCACTACTCTGCCACCATGAGCCAAGACAGTGGAACCCAATCCAGCCCTACTCAAGATACCGTCCCAAAGAGTTCCAAAATTCTTCTCCCCCCAATACTCTGCCAATTCTTACCCTTTCTAAATTATATCGCCTCTTCCATAAGCACCAGGATTCATGCTAAGCTGTATAAGGAATGCAGAGTCCGGACTAAGATAAGTGCTTGGCCAGCGACCTCCTTTGCTGAGAGGAAGATGGCCTGGATTCTTGTGCAGTGGCCTTCTCCATGCAGCCCTATCCTTGCTCAGGGGTCCTCTCTATGGCCTGGATTGCTTGCCCACCAATCACCTTCCTCAGTGTCTTTTTAAGACTACTTTTCTCCTTCAACTGTATTAAAGTTTGAAAGACTTTTAATCTTCTAGGAATCTGCTGAAATTGATGCTAAAAACCTCTAACGGTGGAATAACTCAATACATTAGGGAGATATTTTTATGGAGAGGATGGAGTCAAGGACAAACAACTCCACTCTCAAAAATAAATGAAAACATAAAAAAAAAAAGGCAGGGAGCGCCTGGGTGGCTCAGTCAGTTAAGCATCTGACTTTGGCTCAGGTCATGATCTTGTGGTTCACGAGTATGAGTCCCGTTCGGGTTCTGTACTGACAGCTCAGAGCCTGGAGCCTGCTTTGGATTCTGTCTCCCTCTCTCTCCTTCTCCGCCCCTCCCACCCCCCCATGCATGCACAGTCTCTCAAAAATAAAAACACTAAAAAAAAGAAAAAAAGGACAAATGGCTCCACTGTGAAATCCCACATGCAGTTTTATCCATTAGAATGGCCCTGGGAAGGGGATGCTGGTAAATATTTGCTAAATCTCTGGAGGCAGGAAGTCTTTCGAAGCTAAGAAGCAACAGAAACGTCAAACAAACTTGCTAAACTTGGTATCGATGGGAAGGGGGATTGGATACTGGATGGAGGACGAGCCAGGCTGTGTGTCCTCAGTATGTGGAGAGCTGAGGCAGTCACGCAGCTTCGTGGCTCAAGGCCCCAATGGCGGGCATGTGAAGGTAATGATCACATTGAAATCAAGGGGAACACAGAGACTAAGACCCTAGTGGAGGAAGCTAGTTTGCAGAGATGGGAATGGTACAAACATATAGGGAAACACAGGGGCAAGAAATCAAGGGTGCTGTGAGGTCAGGCTGGCTTCCTGTAGGTGGGTTCAAGGAGATTCCCCTATATTCTTAAACTCCCCTTTTAATTGACCTAATTAATTTGAGTGTGTTTCTGTTCCTTGCACATAGTTCCTTATCTAACATCTCAGGTCTTTGGAATTTCCAGACTTGAGAAAGGCAAGAAGTACACTTATATATGTTAACATTCCATCCCCAGCAGTATCTGCCATAAACAGTATCCATTAGTCAAGGAGCTAATGTTCATGGAATAAATGTCTGAATACCCACCCAAATAAGACAGCTAAGACTATAAACAGCCTCAAATCTGGTTCGGTTCTGAGGCTAAACAAGTTCAGATCAGGTTATCGGAATGCTCTGGATTTCAGAATTGCAGATGAATGACTGCGGACTGTATACATAATGTGACATCCCATCCCTGCTCCAAAAGGCAGGATTTAATTGTTTTAGGTTAACTTGAGTGTTTAATACTTTAGAGAACTTAAAAAAATTTTTTTAATTTTAAAAGTACAAATAGCATAACAATAATGAAGGCTGGCACTCATGACATAACTGTCCTTATGTGGTACTTTTAATTACAGGAAATAGAAAAGAAACTCACCTCCTCATTTCTGTTGCTAAAAATTACTGTGATCAGCAGAATATACTTAATTTAAGCTTCACAATTCTCTACATAGGGAATTACCAACTTATTTCTTCCATCAGCAATAATACACCCATGCTGTGGGATACAGCTTTAAGATGCTTTTGTAATTTTGCGTAATTGATTACATGTGGAGACAAGGGTACATATTGCTCATCAAATGCATGTAACACGGCGTACCTCTGAATTCAGGTGTGAAATGAAGAGTCTGAAGGAGGGAATTGAGGTAACAGGTTCCACCCTGATTTCTAATTCCACTTAAATTGGTGAATTCTCTAGGAGCTGGTGGCTCCAAAACCTTGGTCTTTAATTTCTTCTCTTTTCCGTACTGATTATTTGACTCACTGGAATAATCTTCTTCAAACAGATCCCCAAACATTGTGAAACTAAATCCTACCCTTAAAAAAAAAAAAAAATGACATGTTATACAAACGCTTTTATTTTTGAAACAAATTTTCCACACATCTCCCTATCTTATACTTGGGAATGTCTCTCTTTTAAGTCGTCCCTTACAAAGTTCATCCAGGAGTTTGGGAGACTGCAAGGCCGAGATTTTCTCATCCTTGCTCCACACTGCCTGCGTTACCCCAGGCGAGTTTCCTAACCTGTGTTCTTTAGACGTAAAATGGGATACCACCTATCACACAGGGTCCTTTAAACCAAACGAGAGAATTTAAGAAAGGCACTAGGGGTATGGGGTTTGGCTCCCAATAATAACTGCTTTTTAAAAAAGGCATATTGAGGGAGACCTGGGTGGCCCAGTCAGTTAACTACAGACTCTTGACTGCGCCTCAGGTCAAGATCTCACAGTTGTGAGATCAGCCCTGAGGTCGGGTGGGTTCTTCCTTCCCTGAGCTTCTGCCCCTCCCCCACTCATGTTCTGTTTTGTTCTCTCTCAAAATAAATAAAAATATTTATATACACAAGTAACGAGGCATATTGAAATCCCTAGTGAAAAAAGAAAGAAAACCCTTCACTAAACGTTATCCACTGCTGGAGTGGCAAAGCCAATCCTAGACTCGAGAGGTGACGAGGGCGTGGGGACGGTCAACCACTTCCTGAAATCTCAGCTTCCCACACTCCTTGTACCAGATTATGATTCTCAAAGGAATCAAATGCGGCAAATTCGCCTCGACAGCAGTTTGGTACAGGGTCCCAAAGCCAGAGGGCGGGAAGGGCGTTCACGGGGAGAAAACCCTGCCATTAAAATCAACGGGCCTAAGGGCGCCCCAGTGGGTATCCAGTGAGGCCAACATCAGCTCTAGGAACCTACAGGACGCGCTCAACGTCTCACCTGAGGGTGGAGGAGGGTCACCTGGAGAGGAGAAACGCACAGCGCCTAGCACAGTTCCTAAGAGACAGGAAGCGCTGAAACGCAATATATTCCTTTTCAACCCGTTCCTCAGGAAAACCAAAACCAAAACCAAACAAAAAAGGAACAAAAAAATGGAACTTCAAAGTCTGGCCTCGAGCTCGTGGTCTGGATTCCGGTCTCCCTCAGGCCCCTCACGCCACCACGGGGCCCAGGGGCGCGAAGAGGCAAGGGTCCCCGCGGCCGCGCATCGCGGACGCCGCGCCCAGAGCGCCGCGTCCTGAGGCCGCCCGGGCAGCCCCTCGCCTCGCGGTCCTCAGGTGTGCCGCCCACAGCGCCCCTGCGCCTCCCACGTCCCCGCTCGGGGAACCCCGGCCGCCAGCCTCACTTACTGCCTAAAGCCCAGCCCCACGATCGAAACAGACATACGCGCCGCAAGTGGGCGCAGCCATGCTTGCGTGGGCGGCTGCCCTGCGGCCCGGAGCGTGAGGCATTTATGGAACGCGCGGACTACGCTTCCCAGGACGCCCCGCGAGAGCGCCGACCCGCCGCGCGGGGCCTTATGGGCAATGTAGTCCTTTTGCCCGGAGAGTTCGGGAATCCTGGTGGGAGAGCCGCGTTGGCGTCCCTGTCAGCTCAGGGGTGCGCCCGTCGGTTCGGTCCGCCTGCCACGCATGCATTCGAGTTTTAGCAGTTTATATTTACTGCTTTTCGCAATCCAAACTAGTCTTGTGGCATAGCTAATTTCTGTGTCACCTACACATTGGAAGCTGTAGGGCTTCAAGGTCGCCACGCTCTGTCAAAGTGTTTTCCAGGCGTGTCTCCAGTGAAAAATGTTCCGCATAACCGTAAACCTTTATGATATCCTCAGCGTTTATTTTTTCTGCACCAACTCTAAGTAGCATACCCAGGAGTACGTAAAAACCTCAGAATTGTCCTCTCGCCCCCTTGGACACCTTCAGTGTGGACTGTTTTCAATAACTTGTTTAGGCTCTTCTGGAATCTCCTTTGTGTAATCCATCTCCATCCACGAATTAATGAGGAAGACAGGGAGAACACCGTTTTTACAACAGCAGGAAGGTTTGAGAGATTGAGAACAGCAGTAGTGACAGAGAAAATGGCAAAGCCAGTGTCGAAGTGGATCTTAAGGGATTTGTGCTTGGAACTTTTGTTGTACTAGTTGTTGTGGTTGAGATTTTAGTGTTTTAAAGTAATCTTGAAACCCAACGTGGGGCTTGAGCTCACAACCCAGAGATCGAGAGTCACATGCTGTACAATTGAGCCAGCCAGGTGCCCTTGTACTTGGAACATTTTAGGGAGGTGGGTGTGGCTGCACCGTTCAGGGAGGGTTCACAGGGAGAGAACTAGAGGCAGATGACCGGTGGGAGGGGGCTAAAGGCCTAGATTTGGCCACAGTGGGAATGGCCGTTTTCTGTTATCATCTGTCGTCACTGGGTAGGCTTGCCTCCTTGATAGCCTCCTCTTCATGACTCTGCTCCCTGGTTACGTGATGTTCGATCCTGTGATTTTCTTTTTTCTTTTAATTTTTTTTTTTGAGACAGAGACAGAGTGGGGGAGGGGCAGAGAGAGAGGGAGACACAGAAGCAGAGCAGGATCCAGGCTCTGAGCCGTCAGCACAGAGCCCAACGCGGGGCTCGAACCTGCGGGCGTGAGATCATGACCTGAGCCGCAGTCGGGCCCTTAATCTCCTGAGCCACTCGGGTGCCCCGTTGATCCTGTGATTTTCTGCCCTTTGATTTCTTCTCCTTTGTCAGCTGTGCTTCATTCCCCTTTTCCTAAAAGTAGATAGTCCTCAAACTTCCATTCCCTGACCAAAAATGAACACTTGAAGGTCAGCTCCGTGAAGACACGGGCTCTCCATTCTGCAGACGTGTGTCCCAGCCACCTCAACAGTGCCTGGCTCGTTACAGGCTTTTAATAAATATTTGTTGAATGAATGAATGGTCTATTAACACCGTCATCCTTCTCCTCATGCAACACATAGTCTTGCAGCTATATTGGAAACTTCATCTTTTGCCCATGAATCCAACCATCTGTGTTGCCTGGACAGTACTTCTCTCATTTCCTATGCTCCCTCTCTGCCCATCAGACCCTCCCTGAGCCTCACCTGCATTAAGATGACAGCTTTTTCAGTGAACTCTCATTTTATGCATCCCATCCTGCACATGACTACGATACTCACCCTGAGGTCACCCTTCCTATCAAGAAGCTTCAGCGTTTCCCCAGTGTCTACTTTATTTTTTTTTTTATTTTTTTTTATGTTTTTTTTATTTATTTCTAGGAGAGAGAGAGAGACAGCGTGAGCAGGGGAGGGTCAGAGAGAGAGGGAGTCACAGACTGAAACAGGCTCCAGGCTCTGAGCTGGCAGTCAGCACAGAGCCCGACGCGGGGCTCGAACCCACAAACTGCAAGATCATGACCTAAGTGAAAGTCGGACGCTTAACCGACTAAGCCACCCAGGCGCCCCCCCGCAGTGTCTACTTTAGAAACTCCTCACATTGTGATGTTTTTAGTCCCCTGTGGCCCCAGCACCCTTCATGCTGTATTTTAACTAGAAAACAACTCACCTGTTTTCTAGTTAAACTGATTCCAGATGTGCTGTGTGCCTTCTAGCTTCTGTGACCTGCTTCATGTTGTCCACTCTGTGAGGGACGTCTGTCCTCTCAGACTCTCCCGTCACTCCCTTCAATAAAAACCCATCTCAAATCTAACTCATCCATAAAAGTTTTCCATATCTCTCTAAACAAGACGTGAACTTTTCTTTCATTGAAGCTTTAGGATTATGTGTAACACTCTTGCCCATGAATCTGGCAAAGTCACATATGACCATTGTGTCAGTATCTCTAACTCAAGGATGGCACCGTATCTGCCCTGTCACCTGACAGCAGTTACCCAATTACAAACCCAGTGGACACCTTTGGGTCTAAATCCATCTCCTCATTCCCCTTGCCCCCGTCGACTTCCCTTCTGTGCTAGTGAATGATCCCATCACCTCTCCCTTTGCTCATGCAAGAGATCCAGAAGGCCTTCTAGAATCTACACCCACCCTTGTAATAACTCTACCCCATTTAAACCAATGTCACCACTCTTCTTCCATACCAGATTCCACCTCCTGTTTCCATGCCCCTGCACAGATCAGGCCTGCTGCACGCTACAGCTCAGCCTTCACTCAGCAAGTGCTCTCTGGGCAGCTGTGGGTTCTGGGCATGGCTGCGGGCATGCTGGCTTCCAGCGATGAACACAGCTGACGAGGCCAGCTCTTGCTGCTGCTCACGTTATCCCGGACACCTAGAGTAACGGGAAAACTAGCAAACAAGATCACATCAGACAGTGACAAGTGTTACCAGGAAGACAGAGTGATATGAAAGAGGATGGCGGGGGTGGGTAGGGTGGCAAGGAGAGATGAGTTGCCCTTTAGGTTTCCATTTATTCCTTCATTCCTTCACTCATTCTTCAATGAATATTTACTAAGCACCAACTATATTTAATAAGCATTTACTAGCCAGCACAGGGCTATCTCGATGTCTAAGATGTAGTATTAATAAGATTACGGACGTGCCACAATTTGTTTATCCAGTCACCAGTTGATAGGCCCTTGTGGTGTTTCCAGATCTTTATACTACAAATAAAATGGCTATGGATATTCACATGCTCTGGTCTTGCACCGAAGAAAAAGTTCTCAGACACTAGACTGAGCGGACGTGCAGGGCTGCCTCTGTGGAACAGCAGCAGCAGCAGCAGCAGCAGACAGCATGTAGCTTTTGTTTTCTATTTTATCAGATACAGTATTAGAGAGTATCAAAGTGTAGAAAGAGAAGACAAAAGATCTTAGTGAAGGCATGCAGGGAGCACGTGAAGCTCCAAGGAGTGTCAGGAAGTTACAGCCAGTTTTGGGTCTAACTATCCTCTGTTGGGATCATAGGGCTCTGAATAGCATAATGCTATCGCATTCGACAGCCTTGAGACCAGAACATTGCTGACGTTTCAGCTATTACCCCATTCACCCTCCAGGGCTCACAATACATTCTCTAGGAATAACTCCATGTCTCCCCACTTTTGTTTTTCCAGTGTAGGAACAGAGGTCGCAGTGGAAGGGGTGAGCCCCTGGGTAGTGATGAAGAGCACCTTAGGTGATTTGGAGCAGAGAGACATCATCATTTTGAAGACTGCAGTGAAAAACAAAATCATCACTAATATTATAATAGTATTAAGCCAAGAATGAAGATTGAACCCAGGGAACCGGTTTTTGGGGTTGATCCAATTAGAAAAGTCATTGAGAGCATCAATCACTGCTTGTTGGTTTTCTTGTTGAAGCTCCCATAAGTGTTTTATAACCTAGATTTTAGGTTATCAATGGAGACACTTAGGGGTGAATCAAATACCTGATTAAGATGTCAATGTATTTGATCCCAGGACTTGTTGTATAAAGTCGGGGCTAAGGAGAGCACAAGTCTCTAAGGAATTTGAAAGCAAAGCTTTCAGGATCTTGAGGGGCTAGCTACTGTTAAGATAAGGTTACTTTTAGTCTCTAATAAAACAAAAACATGAAGGAAGTAAGGCAGCCATGGGTTCTTTGAGCAAGGTCACACTCTGCATGTTTCAGGTGTCTGTCAGTGGGCTGAGAGCTGCAAGGAAATTTAATTGAACGACATTGACCCTTAAATCTTTAAGATTGTTGAAAGCAGAAGGTCTCAGCTTCTGTAGCTCCTTTCTGCTAAATAGGGGGCATAGAAATGGCCCTACCTATGGCTCAAGGTATGGGAGTTAGAAAGGCTAAGGCAGCTGTATCTAGAGTTGATAACATATGAGTGTCTGCTTGAGCAGAAAGGATCATCTGTTGGCTTGAAGTTGTGGTGGCGAAGGAGTCTTGGCATCGTGTGGAGATACATGGGGAAAAATGTCAAAACATGATTAAAATAACAAAAAGAAAAAGAAGCCCAAACAAGAGTCCTTTGGCAGTTGACAAAAATTTTTCTTCAGTTTAGGAGCTTAACCAATTTTTGAAGGAAAGAGAGGGATCATTTATAGGACCAATTTACATATTTGTCAACTTAGAAATACTCTTGTGGTAATCTGGAATTATACACAGTGTTCTGTTTTTATGAGAGTACAAGTTCCATCATGTGTAGCAGTTGAAACATCTAATGCCATTTTATTTTGTAGAATTGTTTAATGCACTTGAGTTGTTTTAGTGTTTAATAATAGAATGTTATTTTGAGAGTCACTTAAGGTCTTGATTGTGTAATAGGTGGTGAGTTAACCATCATATAGACTCTGTCTAGTTTAGTGAACAATCAGGGAATTAATAAGAGGCACTTTTATAGAAACAAGAAAAATATAGGTTAATGGTTAGACCAAAATTATAAACCCAGTGTCTGCCAGTGAGAAGATTTTTAGATGTCAGCCTTGAAGCATCTTCAGATGGAGTGGGAATAGGTAGAGGGAATGAGATGG